CCCCCCAGCCATACATACCGCCCCACTACACGAAAACCTTATAGTAGGTCTAAGATTTTTCCTGTAATGTAGTTGTAGGTGTTACTGGTGGGTTTTCCATACCCCCCAGACCCCCCGGTGCATCGTTCTCCCACACATAACGTTTAGGCCTAAGGATTCACCTTCGATGGTCTCTAAAAATTGCGGTAAAAGTTCCAAAAGCACTTGGGGGAGAATTTAGAACCGGGGGGGTATGGAATACCATACCTCCCAGCCATACATACCGCCCCATCACACGAAAACCTTATAGTAGGGCTAAAAATTTTCCTGTAATGGGGTTGTATGTGTTGCTGGGGGGTATTCCAGACCCCCCGGTGCATCGTTTTCCCACACACAACGTTTAGGCCTAAGGACTCACCTTCGATGATTTCTAAAAATTGCGGTCAAAGTTTCAAAAGCACTTGGGGGAGAATATAGAACTGGGGGGTATGGATACCGATACCCCCCGAAGTCTTGAGATCACTTTTTTACTTTGCTTTTATTGCCTTCTCTTTGGAGAATACGTTTCGGTCATCCGACAGGGTGCGAGACCATGATCACGTCACTGGTCGGTTTTGAAGCGTCGCGCATTAATGATGTAAGATTCAGTTCGTTTGAAATTCTCAAAATATGGGACTTAATAAACGTTGCGTCTTTTATAATATGGAAATATACAGCAGGTTGAAATTTTGGAAAATTACGGGCTGAGAAACGGGACAATTAGCGTAAAATGTGTGAGAGCGACGACTAATCAGTGCATGTAAGCCCTTTTTCAGTTGTCGCTCGCATTAATGGTGCATTCAGTTGCGTGTCTCTGGGAACTTTTAGTTTTAGTTATGCAATCCGGTGAGGTGAGTTACATTTTCGCATGGAAATTTCAAATTAAATTCTTGCATGTCGGAGACGCGAAACATGTTTAGTTGATGAATATAGATGGGGGGGTGAGGGGGGGGGCTGTTTTCAAAAACCGCGTTACAATGCCATTTAAACCGCAAACGCCATTAGGGGGAGCTCG